ATTTATTATTTATATTATTGTGAATCCAATTATTAAATTTAATCTTAACTGTATATTTAAATTTTTTTAATTAATTCTAAATTAATTTTCAAAAATGAATAATATATAAATGGATACATCTAATACACAAATAGTGAAATCAAAATATAAAAATGGTACATAGATATTATAATACCTAATATAATTTATATTATTGTTAAATAATTCACCAATTAATCAAAATTGTAAATTAATTAACATTTTCCAAAATTATTATATTATAAAATGACTATACATTGAATACACATGATTAAATAATATATAAAAAATTATATAAATATTATATGTAATATAGTTTTTTATTTATATTATTGTTAATTGATTATTCATTTTATCAATATTTTAAACAATGCAAAGCCTTTTCTAAAACTAATATAAACTAACTATACATTACACACATTATTGAACAATTATATGAGAATCTGAAAAATGTGCTTAACTGTAAAAATGTCAATGCAAAAAATCTTAACAGTCCTACAAAGTGGTTTCATTTCTATATGTAAAATAACACAACTTATTTTCTTTCCTTTTAATTTTGGGACTGAAATGTCAGGAACATGTTTTTGCGAGATTTGCCCATTTGCATGTCTGTTCATAACAAACCTGTGCCATTGTGTGCGGGTTCAGCGTCTGGGAGCGTTGAATAGGTAACCCACAATGCAGTGCAGATGGTGACTGGCGTATCGGAGGACTCTCCCGCTCTCTGTCCCTGCGCAGGGACTCATGTTGGCTGATGTTGGCAGTGACGTTGCCGTTGGAGTTGGCGTTGTGTCCCGTGCGTCTGTGGTGCTCAGGACTGTCCACACAGCTGTTCCCACGCAGCAGCTCCCGCGGGCTGAAATGCCCCGTTACCGTCACCGTTACGGGAGGAGAGCTACGTTCCAGCCCATTGCCATGGCAGTGACCGTCGTTTAAGCGACCAGGGACGCGGCGCAGGAGGGCTTCCGTCCGCTTCCGGTGTCTGAAGAGAGAAGGGAGGAATTCATAAAGTGAAATGCAAGGAGAAAAGTGACTAGGAGACTGAAGGCCAGAGTGTGTGTGTGCTCACCGGCTGATGAAGGTCTCAGGGACTCTTGGCTCAGTCGGAGACGCCAGTGACCGTCTGGAGCTCACTTCATCTGAAGGTGTAGTGCTGGACTCACTGTCTGCTTTCTGGCTCAGAGTGTCTGACATGGCTTCATCCCTGAAATATATAATTCAGAAGTTCATTCATTCATCCGTTTTCACATCAAGCTATTCGTTTGATCAAAATGAGTTTTAGAAGGAAATTTAATTAGCCAATGTGTTACATAAAAAGAACAAACTTCAAATTCCTTACAATTACTATGATACAATTTCTGCCAAAATACCAAGTACTACAGACGTTAAGTGGGAATTAGTCACCACTGTTAAAAATAAAAATAAA